CCCCGCCACGCCTGTCCCGGTTTCCTGTCCCGGACTCTGGTTTCTGTTGCCGAGGGGGAGGCAGGGCAGGGGTTTCCCTGGACCCCTCAGCATGACAGGCCTGAGGGCGCAGGTCGGGGAATCGCCAGGGTCCCACGGGTCAGTGGCTGCGCCGCTCGGCCCTCTGTTCAGATGAGGGAAACACTGCACGGCAGTGTCCGGGGCCGCTGGACGCACGTGTGATGGGCCCAGGGCCGAGGTGGCCCCTGCTCTGCCCGGCGGCCTGTGCCGGGTGCCCTGTGCCGGGTGCTGGCAGCGGGTCCGACCGCGTCTTGTGCGTGAGGCGTGTCACCGGGACTGCGAGGGCTCCCGCGGAGGCCGGAGGGACACCTGCCACGGACGCTTGGCGGCTGTGCCTCCGATGCCCAGACTCTCTCCAAGGGGCCGTGGGGCTGTGAACTGACCGTCCTGGAGTCGACGCGACGCCACGGCTGTGGCGTGACCACGAGTCAGGCTCTGCTCACCGGCGCCAGGGTCGACCGCTGATGCCGGCCCGACACTTTCCCCACGCGCTTCGGCCCCAGGGGCTCCTGACCCCACGGTCACGGCCAAGCCTCTCTGCAGGTCCTAGCCTGGCCCTTCCGCCCGTCCCGGGAACCGCGCCGCCGTGTCTGCCGGCCGCCTGCGCGCGCCCCTCCCTCACCGAGTCCCCGTGAGCGTCCCGCCAGGAAAGCGGCTCCAGGGGTTCCTGCCGTGACGGTTGAAAACGGGGAAATAGTGCTTCATACCTAGCACGTCGGAGCTGCTGGAGAGCAAAGGGCAAGGATTCGCCACCGGAAACCCGAGTGTCAAGAACTGAGGTGGTCGGATCTCAGCAACAAGCCGGGGGTTTACTGCAGCCGTCACCGACTCTGGGCCGCCTGCTGGCTCCCGCCACCTGCTGCCGCCTCCCACTGCCCGCTGTCCGCTCCTGCTGCCCGCTGTCCGCAGTGGCGAAGCCGTGGCGCTCAGGGCTCCTGGGCGTCCCTAAGGGTCATCCACCCAGCGGCCTGCCTGTGTGACTAGAGAAACTGTCGGCTTCTTCAGCTTCCGAGTCTTGCCTGAGTTTCAGCAAACTCAGACTCAGACGTATGGGAAGGGACGTGGGGAGACAGTAGCTGGCTTTTCTTCTCTGATACAAAGGAGCTTCAAGGAGGGAATTGAAGGGTTTCCAAGTGGGTAACAGACAAAGCAGCACACACATGAAAGCACAATCGATCAGAAGCGGATGAGTCCAAGAGGCAGAAAATCAGTAAGGACACGGGTGAACTCAGCCAAACCGTCGATGGCGTGGATGTAACGGACATCTGTGTGTTAAACTCCCTAACAGCAGCAGAGCACGTCCCTCTTAAGCTCACGGGGGAGAGTCAGCATGACAGACCATATCATGACAGGCCACAAAGCACACCCTGACGAACTTAAAAGAATGGAAATCGTGCAGCGTCTTTTCTTAGATAGTAATGGGATTAAATTAGAATCAATGACAGAAACGTGACTGGGAAAATCCCCAAATACTTGGAGATTAAACAACACACTTCTGAGCAACACGTGGATCAGAGAGGAACTCTGGAGAGAAAGGAAAAATATTTTGAATTAAATAAAAATGGAAAAACAATTTATCTAAATGTGTGGGCTTTTCAGCAAAAGCAGTGCTTAGAGGGAAGTTTATGTCACTGAAACACACACTGGAAAACAGGAAGCATCTAAAATCAGTCATCTAAGCTTCTATTTTTGGAAACTAAAAGAACCAATTAAATCCAAAATAAGCCTAATAAAAGACAAAAATTAGAGCAGAAATCAATTAAATCGAAAGCAGAAAATCAATACAGAAAATCAATAAAATTAAAAGCTGGTTCTTCGAAGAGATCAATAAATTGGCATGCGTCTGTGCAGCTAACAAAGAGAAAAGGAGACCGCAGATTAACAATACCAGGAATGCAGGAGGGGACCTCACCCAGGACCCGTGGAAGGCGAAAGGCTAATAGGACGAAGGAGCTTGTGGAGGAGCCGCAGGTTTGATAATCACATCCAACGGGGCCGTTCACTGAAAGACAGGCGGCCAAAACTCTCACAGGAGGAAATATGTGATTTGGATGGTCCTGTATCTAGTAAAGATAGTGAATCAATAATTAACAACCTTCCAGAACAGGAAGCATCAGGCCCCGGTGGGTGCGGTGGTGAATCCTACCAAATATCCGTGGAAAAAATTGTACCAATTCTCTACGGTACCTTAGAGAGTAGAAGCAGAGGGAACACTCCCAGCTCACGCTACGAGGCCGGCATTAATTACCCTAATACCAAAACCGGACAAGAAATTATAAGGAAACTGCAGACCGCTACGCGTCATAAACGTAGATGCAGAAATCCTCAACGCAATATCAGCAGATCGAATCCAACGACGTATAAACAGAGTTATGCACAGCGACCACGATGACCATTCTGCCCTCTCAGCCTCCATATTAGAAACGCCGCGGTTTTGCATCGATTTATTTCCTTCAGGTTCTCAGTCCCCCTGAGATGTTTCCTTATCAAAAAGATGTCTACGGGTGGGTGACCAGCATCCCCACAGAGGCAGGGCATCGTCGGCTTGAGCCGCACGTCCATTCTGAAATGCGTTTGAACAGAACGTGACAAGATTTTTAAATGGTAATACACAGTGTCAAGCACAAGTCACCAAGCAAGTGACAAAGGACATTTCCAGGGTTAGCGCACAGCAGCAGCGACTTTAGACCGCGTCACCCCACAGCGTGGGAGCTGACACAGAAGACAACTGTTGGTTGCAGCCCCCACGCCCCCCACCCCATAAAATCCGCATTGCTTAAATGTGACACCACGTGGCAGTGAGTATTAGCTTCACAGGGTCCTAAAACAGTGGGGACTAATTGTTCATTATGTTTTAAGAATCAGAGATTTTCAGAGGCAATTGGAGATAATTTGGGCCTGATTGTGATCTTGAAGGAAGGGAGTCAATTAGCTAAAAGTGTCTTATATTTTAATTACACATTGAAAGGAACCAAAATAACCTTGTTTTAAAAAGGAGAGTATTAAAATGAAAAAGCTGGTCATGTGCATTTTCTTGGCTCTTTCATCTGTTTTTTTTTTTTAATAGATGGAATAATATTAGCTGCTCAAAAAATAATTTCAGGATCGAGTGCTGTTTCAAGGGGCACCTCCCGGATAATCGGTGAGAGCGCGGAAGCGGCGCTGTGTGTTGTGGAACCGAGAATGTTTTCAGAATGTGAAACATGGGAAGAGCCTAGAGGTTGGCGTGGCCCCGTCTGCCGACGAGGGCTCTGAGTTAGAGGGGCGCGGTGGTCAGGTGGCCAGCGGCGGAGGGGAGGGGCGGAGGGCGCGGGGCGG